ATCGTCATCTCTGATTTGTCATCATTTAGGATGGTGGCTCAACTACAAAACACATTTCAAAGTTGCGACTTTCTTAAGAGGCAGTAGGGACCCCCTAAATGTAAACAGACTGAATTGAAAAAGGCAAGAAAGATGCATATCAGAGATCTTGACAGAGAGAAAAAAATCAACGGTGAACAATACTCTTTGTGGCTTTGTGGTTACTGTTTCTTTCTTTGTCAGCCTCTACCACATTCTCTTCTTCTGAGTCCGCGTGAGGATGAGAGATGCAAACATATGTTTTAGAGATGAATTAACGCAAGACTTCACCACGGAAAAAGTCTGTCTCACGACTGGAAACATTCCCGCTGTTTTTGGTGTGTGTATCTCTACCAATATGTGCATTTGCATTTGTTTGTGTTCAGATGGGATAAATAGGGACCAAAAGTAGCGTTAACACTCGGCATGTGTGTGATGAATAGGGATTCTATTTTGACGTCAACAAAGAGGTGTTTGAAAGTTGATTTTGTTTGCATGTGTTTGTGTGACAGTGTTTGTCGACTTTTTAATTGCCAAGGTCATACAGCAGTCTCCTTGCCAATCTCAGGCGCACGCAGCTGCTTTGGATATGAAGAAGTCGGCACACATGGATGCGCATACAGTACATACAGAGGCACACAAATACACCCTGATGCCTGTGTTGGGGATCATGTTGATCACATGATCACACTGGATGGATAAGTGCTATTTAAAACAAGCACCACTGGGGCTGAGAAGAAGATCAGAGATTATTGTTGGCAGTGTACAGACCCAGTGAAAACTGGACATGTCATATTAAATTGATACAGGCGATACTCCAAACAATAAAGTCTACCAATACTGCCCGGCCCATTCTGTTCTATCTTCCTCTTTTCTCCTGACCTTCTAAAATTGGTTGCTTCCTAGCTGTCTTTGTTGTGCACAATTTCTTTCCTTGTGAACAAGATACCAACACCTCTAGCATGTTGTCCGAGGTTTTAAAGGATAAGGCAACATAGGTGGAAAAACTGAGATAAAAAAATTCCCATGGCAAGGCCAGTGCACTACTGATAAACATGTCAAATCTTTAGCCGCATGTGTGGTCTTTTTGTGGATTTTTCAAGTTGTTTACAAGTTGTTCTGTGTGTTTTGTGGCAGTTGGGCTGTATCTTAAGTGGGTTTGTTCTGAACGCAACGTGTGCTATAAACCTGGCAGATTTTGAGGATTTCTACTGGGCTGGTAACTAGATCAGAGGTAGTGTGTTAAATATAGAGGGAAGGTCCTGTCTTCTCCCCAACAACAGCAAAGAGCCCACTACAGTACTGGGTGGTGGGCGGTGGTGCCAAAAAGCGACACAGCAGCATCACATCAACATTTGCAGTATCAAAGTCCAAGTTTCCTCCTAGGACCTATTGTGGAATACTGCTGTGTTTGAGGTTTTATTCCAAGTGTTTCCAAATAATAAAAAGCTAAAATGCCAACCTTTTCGTGCCGCAATACTCCTGGACTCATTGTAACTTACTGCACCTTGGATGAAATGACGGTCATCTACAAAGCTTATCTGTTCATTGCACACTTTCCCCCGTTCTGCTTTTTGAGCTTGTTGTTGCTTCTTCTGTCTTGGCTTGGCTCAAAGCGATAGTCTCTCCCTCTCCCTCTGTATGTGCCTGGGCCTGGCTTGTTGACTTTAGCTGGCCCATGTGTTGTGCTGCTGCCAGAGGGGAGTGTTCTTGGCCCGGCCAAGGCCAATGCAAGTGAGGGAGGAAGGAAGGTAAGGGGGAGTGTGTGTGTGTGTGTGTGATTTTGTTTGTGCATGTATTTAAGTGTGCCAAATGCTCCAACCATATTACACAAACGCATACACACATGCAAGTACAGTAAGACAGGGTTAGGACTTCCCAACTGAGGTACACTACCTGTCTCATAAAATGCATTTGTCAGTGACAGTGCTTGTAAATTTGACAGCTTCAAGCATGAATGGTGTCACTACACTTTGTAAAATACTCCAGCTGCATAGTATTTATGTGCCTACACATGTTCATGTGCGTATGTGGGTGACGGCTGTTTATCATGTCATCCTTAAATTTACTGCATGCCATAAATGCACCATGGATAGACTGAATGGCTCTTGTAAACATCCAGATTTGGGGAGTTAAAAACCAAAAAACCCACTCCATCCCCTCCCAAACGCATATACATATACCACACAGAGACCAACTTTGTTGACAGCAATCTCTGCTCTCCATTTTCCTCTTTCTGGGCACTAAATAAAGGCATCCCCAGTTTAACTTGCTCCAAAATAAAGCCTGTCATAATAAGATGGAGACAGATTTACTGTGTGTCAGTGTTGTTGCTCTTTCGCCTGTCCTCCACTCCCACCAAGTTTAAAGGCTCCATAGTTACTCCACGATCAGATGAAAAGTGATAGAGAGGTTAGTGGGCTGTGTCATTTGGGGTATCTGCGGGCGATGATGTGTTCATCAGAGTAAGCGATGGACAGGAATGGTGGCGCTGTTTTCTGTCCGAGCTGGTTTTACGATGTCAGAATGTGGCAGCCAACTTGGTGTAAACACTGATATGAACAACTGTCTGATAGCAACAGTAGATTAGCTTCACTGCTGTCAGCGTGAATAAAAGCCAATCAGAAACCGGCTCTCTGAAAAGGGGTGTCTAAAGCATGCTTTTATTGTTGCTTTTTGCTTAACACAGACACATGCAAAACAATCACACCAGATATAGTGAAACCATGGTGGAGTGTCATCGTTGTTCTGGGAAGCAGAGGAAGGAAAACGCTCAATGTCAGGAAATCAGGGTGGGTTGGAGGGGTGGGTATTAATGGGCCAAGTGCGTGTTGGTCTGTCCGTGTGTTTGTGTGCATGTGTGCAAGAGAGGGATGTCAAAGTTATCAGATAACTCTGGCATAAAGTAGTACACTAGGTATCCTCCCAGTTTGTGTTTTTTTTTTTTCTTCTCAAATTTGTTTCCGTAAAAACACACTAAAAACTTGTGACTGTCAGTGGTGTGCTGTTAGTATGCAACACTGTAGACAGACCGAATGAGACTTAACCAGGACTCCTACCTCACATTTCACCGAATGTAAAGAACCATTTCTGTAACTCCATTGCCAGTCTCGACAACGTGTTGTCTATGTTGGCTCCAAAATGAGAAAAACAGCACAGAAATATTATTAAGAAAGAGACAGAGGTCCATAAATCAAAATCGTGTCCCTGGTTGGCCTTGTTTGGTGCAGAAAACAAGGCTAATGACTGAAACAGGACACGACTAATCTTGTTATCTTTCTATCTCTTGTCCAGACTGTGTGTGTGTGTGACGTGTGTGTCTTTATGCCTGTGAATGTGTGTGAGGTGTTTATCTGTGTCTTACCCGCCTTTCCTCTGAGTATGTCTTCTGTTTTAGCTGTGGTGTGGATATTATTCTTTGCATACCATGATTCTCTCCATGTTGGTATTTTATAATTATACACAACTGTTTTGCCAACTGCCCGCATTGTATTCACAGCTCACAAACACACACAATGACGCACTTAGCTCGTGTTTTGAAACGTTGGGAGAGTAAAAACTCGCATCTTTTGTGAGCGTTCAGACCGTCACTGAGAGATTCCTCTATATCTGGTACATTCCGTTGTGATCTGTTTGCTCCCCATCCACTACATTCTCATCGGCGTGGGAGCTGAGCCATTTTTTAAAAAACTTTTTCTGTGTCTGTAAACTGTTTTTCAGACTAGTCATTTGTGTCTGAGTGTGCGCGCACAGGTACATGTTGGCTTGCTGATTTAAAGCGCACTGCTGTATGTGTTTGAGGGCTCCAGAGTGAAGTTGTTGTGTAGACTGTGTGTATGTGTATGTGTGTGTGTGTGTGTGTGCGCGTGCGTCTGTGTCTGTGCACTGAGACTCAGCGGCTCTCTGCCAGGGCTTAGGGCTTGGCTGAGAGAATGCCTCAAACCAGTTTACTCTGGTTGTGTAGTGGAGAAGTCCGGGGGCGGGACAAGGACCTCTTAAAGCTGCAGGCTCCCTTTCTCTTTGAATATGAGTGTGTGTCTGTTTTGTGTTAGTGCATCTTTGTACATTAGGATTTGTACATGCTTACTGCACATAGCTGGTAGGTACTCACATCACTGTTTGTGCGATGGCAGCTCGCCTTTTTCAGGATTTTACATGAGAATTCAATTCCAATTATGTGTGTGTGTGCCTATGTGCACAAGTGTGTGGGTTAGTTCTTGGCCCTGCCTTAAATAATTTTCCCCACATTTCAATTTCAAGGACAAGCAAGAACAGGGGTGAAGAGTGCTAAATAGAATCCACTGAGAGAACAATTGTGTGTGTGTGAATCAGATATGCTTTGTTCATCTCTGCAGGATGATGCAAATTGCTGTGCAGTCACATTTTTATTAGAATGCTGGATTCTAAAGCACACTCTCTGGGCTCACTGTGTATGTGTTTGTGAATGTATACTGTGCATATGTGTGTCAGTTCAAGTGGGCAGTATAAATAAGAATTAAGATGAGGGTGAACTGCTCTGCATGGGGCGTACTGAGCAGGAAGAGAGAAATAAGCATCTCTCTCCCGCTCTCTGTGAAAGGTTGCACAAGTTGTGCTGATACCACAAAACACTTTCATTCTAGAGGCTTTCAATTCTTCGGTACACACAGAGGCACATAAGCAAACACACTTAGGCAGAAGGGTGTCCAAGACTACCTGTACACAGTGTTGTGTATCTCTCTGTGCTCTGGCTAGTTGTTGGATTTGTTTGCTACATAGTTCAGATTTCTTCTAACATCATTGTTGTCCTTTTTTCTGAAACTTTTTTTCATGTCTTTGATACACAGTCCAAAAAAACCCCAAAAACATGTGCAACAAATGGGTTAAAATCGATCTGTTTACACATATTCTAGGTTAGAGGTGACGCAAAGACAAGAGCACCTGTGAAAAGCGACACCTGGCATTTTTCCTATGTGGTCAATCCATATTTGTGTGTTTTGCAGGAAGCCCTCTGATCATGCTGATAAGGAGGTGATGGCTGCCACCGTCCTGACCTCACTGTCCACATCCTCTTTGGTGCTCTACCCTTCCTCTGCACCCACAGGTAACACAAATACCTCTGTGTCAGCTGCATTCAACAGTTTACCTGCTGTGCCTTCAGCAGAACCTATCAAACACTGACTCATCCTCTGCATTTAACAAATCAAGGGCATTCACTTGAAATCATGACAAGGGTTACTCACTCTCAGTTAGGGGAAGCTGTGGGCACTACTCATCGTAATTCACTTGATGTTAGTTTACCCTGATGCAGACTGAGCTGCTGAGTTATTGGTGTGTAAACCTTTATATACATTAGAAGGAGTCTTACAGTGCTATTAGCACTATTCCCTTTTCTTAGGTTGCATGTATGTTTACCCAAGCCCAGCACTTTTTTACCAACTGTTTAGCCTTGACCCTATCACCACAGCTTTTTGCTGTTTCAAGTATTGCTGTGGTTGCATTACCATGCCAACCCCACCAGACGGTCAAAGTCCCATCAGCTTTTTTTTATTTTTTTTTTGAGCTCAGCGTTTAACCAAGGCTGGTGTTTTTGATCTCAGGAAGGCATCGTGTAGCAAGTCAGATCCCCTGGCCAGCAGCCAGGGGCACCCTGTTTTATACTGCTGTACAAATTGGGATAAAATTGAAAATAAATCAGGCACTGTAAGGTTTCATTGTAGAATTCAGCTGTCATTAGATCTTATCAGAAGATGCTGTGGGTTTGTGAGCAGGTATGCTTGATGAAATGCTTACTTGATACAAAATATTGCAGAATGGTGATGTTGGTTGACACTGATTTATCACCGTTTGGTTGAGCTTTATAAAAAAAAAAAAATCTATGAGCTAATGCCTGTTTAAAGTTTAGATAAATGTCCTGTTGTTTAGCAGAGCTCCAAGCACATCTCCTTGTAATGCTCACGTAACATAAAAAGTGCTTTCTTATGATTTATGTAGCATGGCATTTATGGCTGTTTTGTGTTGTTAGAACATATTGTGTCTTTTACGAGTTGAAGTCTTGCTTGGATTTGTTTTTTCCTTATAGTGGGTATACGTGATTGACTTAAGTGCCATAGTAATTCTATAAAGTAGCACAGTAATCCTCATACACAAATTGACTTGTACTCTACATATTTATATAAATCGGGATTCAGCGCCTTATATTTCTATAGGAAAGTTATTGGTTTATATAAGTTAATCCTCAACATACATAAGCTTTAGTGTATGTTGGGATTTAGTTTTTTTTTTTTTAATGCTACTTGCCACAGTGAAGGAAGGTCCGATGAAGCCATCATGATTATCAAGTCTTGGGTTAAGGTTAGGTTAAGCCTTACTGGACTGGTCAAAAGTTCAAAGTGTTTGGAAAGGGTTTGTGGGCCAAGACTTAGAGAAATACTGTAGTACCTTGTCCAGAAAATTAAAGATGTTTGGGCTTAATGCGCAGGCTTCAACATAGCTTAATGAAAAATGGTAGGACAGTAAAGTATCCATATAGATATTAGAATTTAGGGATCAAGCAGGCTGTAACAGTTTAGGGCTTTGGAATTATTATTATTTATAATTTTTTTTATTGCACAGTTAGGATTTGGGTCAGGAAGTTTATGCATACAGTCCCCACATTATGTTGCCAGTAAGGTTTTATATGTCAGGCCTTTTAGGACGTTTGTTCACATTTTCTGTCTGTTTTCAAACATGAAACACTCTCATTTTAGACATGTCTTGCCATTATTCTGAAGTTAATTATGTATTCTCTAAACTGCAGTCCCGGAGCCATCCAGTAAGTCCTGGAAAGATGCGCTGTCAACTAGCTACAGCAGTTCGACCAGTGGCAACTGGAGCTGGGATGCCAGTGACCAATCAGTGCCCTCCACACCATCCCCACCACTCTCCAACGATACCAACAAGAACTTCCTGCTCTCGTCCCAGGGTGATGATGTCAATGAGGATGTCACAGAGAGCACGCACTTCATGTTTGAGGACCCCATACCTCGGAAGCGAAAGGTAGATGCACGTCTTGCTGCAAGAAGCAGAATAAAGTTCACACATTGAACATTTTACCCCATCATTGGGTGTTTTGTTTTTCTTTTCTTTTCTTTTCCCAAATTGGGTCTGTTTAGGTTTTAATTTTGAATGTTAAACTGTCTGTCAAGAGCTGAGGCATTATGTATTTTGGTTATTCATCACTGGTCAACCCGTGCCATTCTTATGAATGCATATCTCTTAATTGCTAGGAGGATTTTTTTCCCTTCAAATTTGCCACAAATTGAACTCATGGATAAACTGATTGGATTTTGGTTAACCATAACTCTACAATTAATATGCAAATTCTAACAAAATTTTATACAAATGTCTCATTGAATAACATGATGAAGTAGTGGCATTGTATATCCAAAAGCCCAAAAGTCAAGTCTGGACAGACAAGGATATAAACTACAACTTTATGGATTTGCAGAAACGTATACCTATGAGGCTGCGCTTCTAGTTGTTAAATACAGTACAAGCAGGAGTGCTCAGGGGAGTGTCTATAATTTAGTGACTAAGTCTAGCAAATACATACAGCCAGTACCATTCAAGGAATTCATTTGGATTTTTCTGTTGAATTCACCTTAAAGGAGTGACAGAAGCATTTTCTCCTAGGATTATATTCAACACATCGTGTGCTACTACACATTATGAAAACAATACATCACACTCAGGGCCACAGTTGTAGACAAACAAATCTAATGTGCTTTTTTAACATTTCTTTAAAGCAGTATGAGGAAGCGGCTTCAAAAAGCACCACAAAAACATTCCAAAAATGTGAAAACCAAGAGTCTGACATAAGGCCTGTCGTTCTCTGCTTGTGTGGAAGATGGATTATGTTCTCTATTTCACTTGTCTTCCTCTCATTTTTGTACTAAAGAAACAGTCCAGAACAGCAAAGTGTTTTCACTGTCAAGCAGCGTTCCATCCTTTTTTCAGCCCTTTCAGAGGAAGAGGTGGGAAGGCTTAGTAAGAAAGAAGGAGAGGAGGCAGACGGAGGAGGGATGAACAGCAGGAAGTAAGGGTTCAAGGGATGCATAAAAATGAGGGCAGTTGGAGGGTGTTAAAGTGGGAAAGGAGAATTGATGCTTAAGGTAGCAGCAGGAGAAATGAATCTCAATATTCCTCTAGACATACAGTGACGGAAGAGAACTCATATACTGCATATGTGGGAGTTTGCAATTCAACCTCCATGGAGTGAGGCAGCAGTGAATATTATTAAGCTGCCGTATATATGAAACCGTAAAGACTCCAAGGACAATGCTGCCAGAAAGTCATGCCATTCTATAGATAAGCAGACAGGAAATTAAGTAGAATGATGCTCGGAGGAATATAGGAAAACAAGTTGTGTGGGCTAAAAGGTGAACCAACTTGCTGGTCAGCTTTGGATTGTAATATAGCTGACTTTAACTCCAGAGGTCTAAACCGTCTATGAGCAGCTACCCCTTGGATTGTATGACGTCTGATTTCGTACAGGCAGTAAGTTAAGAGGATTATTAAACATGGCAATCAGTAGTCTTACTGTAACTGTGCTAAGATGCAAGAAAAACGCTTAAAGAATTAAGTGATTTGTGATTGTTTGTGGGATTAAAGTCTAGCTTTGCTGTGTACTTTTTATTAGAGGTATTGTTTTAAACAGCATGGTAGGGTACCTACATATTGCCAGAACCACACAAGGAGTTTAGTGGAATGTTGAATAAAATGAAAGGAGGTGACAGTCAATTAGGTAGAATAGTTAAGAGGAGTAGTGCAGCAGAGAGTTAACATAACCATTGATAAAAACCTGTTCTACTCTCACTTCTCTTGCTCTGCCTTCCTCTCTTTCCTGCTCCCTCCCTCCCTTTTTTTTGCCCTTTTTTCTCCAGAGGCTGTTGGAAGGTAATGAAAGTACACACCCACTGTCTTTCATTAGCAGTGATGCAGGTCTCTGCCTGCCCAAGGGACAGCTGCCAGCCCCTGATATGTGAAAAAGAAAATGAATTGAATTATATAGATATATATATATTTTAAAAAACACATCTATTCATCTCCTCGCGGCTTGCTTATGAACAGAGGAAGTTTATCTTGGGTTTTATGTTAAATCAGATTTCAGCAGGATCACCTATGATAAGCGTTTCCTAATACTCCTTTTGCTGATCAGATGCTAAAAAGAGGAAACGGTTGTTTATGCTCGTGGTTTATTTAGTTGCATTTTTGTGAGAGGCCTTGGATTTTATATCAAACAATATGGCTGCTCCCAATTTTTGCCCTTAAACCAAATTATTTTCATAGCTTTGGACCCTCAACCTGTCCCCCAGCTTGCACAGACAACAGGGAGAGATCAAAATAATCTATTAATCAATCTCTCACTGTGGTTTCATTGTCTCCTCTCTGCCCCCTACTTTTTTCTGTATTTCTACGTCCCTCTTGTGCTGTATGTGTAAAAAAAAAAATAGTCTCATACTGGGTTGATAGCCTTCTGCTCTCGTAGATCTCTGAGTAATAATTGGCGGCCAATGAGATCCACACAGAAGAACTTAACAACACATACTAAATAAACCTCAATTCCTATGAAATGCGTAATCGTAGGGGTTTGCAGAAAATGTGTTTTGTTCTGTGTGGTTTTCTTCTGTTTCTATTTGACAGCTGATGTTTTTCTGTTGTTGAGAAAATGATTCACAAACCGAGTGTAAAACCAAAGATAGATGCAGTTGCATTAATGCACAGATGCCTCAGCGACACCAGCTACTTTATTTATTTTTTTTAACGGTGAGATACTCCTTAGTGTTTGTGGCAACATGCGAAGGCTGTCCCACTTAGCAGTCACCTAATTCTTGCTACTTTTGTGGTAAACATCTCTTTCAGAACTCCATGAAGGTAATGTTCAAGTGCTTGTGGAAGAACTGTGAAAAGGTCCTCAGCACCTCCTCAGGGATCCAGCGACACGTCCGCACCGTCCACCTGTTGTAAGTTGCAAATCATCACAGGAAAAGTCAATGCACGCGGCGCTCAGTTATTGATTCCTGGGTTTCAGCAGTCCCATTAATGGAAAATTTGGCCACATATTAACTGCATATTGACATGTGAGAATCAGAATCAACTTACAGATGTGCTGCAATTTTTTTTTAAATGACACTGAAATCAGAATGTTTTAGCTTCACCACCTTCAGTCTGTAGTCTTTTTTTCTTTTCTCCTACTGCCTAGTCGTGTATATCATGCACTTATCCACAGTTTTTGTCTTAGCTAAATACCTACACATGCCCACACACACATGCACCGCCACCAGGCAGTAATATTATCTTTATGAGTCACACTAATGATTCCCACTGTGATGTTATCATTGTTTCAAAGTGTGTTTATTTCTTTTATGTATATTCACATTTATTTTCAGAATCAGTTTTGTTAACATGAACGTTGATCCCATCGGTGTTTTAAGCTTTGGTTGTCACTTTAATAAGGACCTTTTCATTTTAAGTGTTATGTTCGTAATCTTTTCTCCGCAGCTGCAGGGTAATAGTGCGATTGTGATTTAAATAGTGTGGTAAGACAAGAAAAGTGACACACATTTAACTTGTCACAGATTGGATCCTGTCCAACTTCCTGCCTTTACATCTGACTAACTAGGCTATTGTATTACCGTGGCTGCACACAGGTGCTACCAGGCACGTCTGCAGTCTAAATCATTGAACCATGCTGAGTAAGTTAGGGTTTATACATGAAACGTTTTCTGACCGATGTTTGAGGGTTTTTTGTAGCCACATCATAAATATTCAACCTCTATCTAATATTACTGTTTCTAATCATTTATCAGTACACATACCTAACTGTTCAAATAATCTTTTTGAACTCTATAACGTGATACAGATAAATCCAGCCTATGCAGAAGTTCAGCCAGAGTGAGCGACATTGCAAAGATAAACGACTCGTGTCATGTGATAAGAGATGAACTTATTCCATCACACTGAAAATGTTTTGGAAAAAAGTCTACAGTCTTGACTAGAAGGCACATAAAAGGCTACCTTTAATATGCAAGAAAACAGTCAATATACCTGTTGGGCTGTGGGAGTTTGTTTTATAGAGTGAAGAGACTAAATTGGAACTTTTTGTACCCATGGAAACTTGACCCTGTGAATGCCATTTAGATTCATTAAAATATCAGACAATTAAACAATATTAGTGAGCTTTGACACATGAGGAACAAGCTGCAGTTCCGAAAGAGAGATACCTAAAGCTTGTAAGCAAAGACTTAGCAAAGTTCAGAAAGGTCAAGGGATATTATTATTATTATTATTATTATTAATAAATACTGGCTTTGGTGGTGGGCTGCAAGGTGGCTCAGTGGTTAGCACCGTGGCCTAGAAGGTTGCCGGTTCGCGTCCCGGTGAGGACACCCGGGATCTTTCTGCGTGGAGTTTGCATGTTCTCCCAGTGCAGCGTGGGTTCTCTCCAGGTTCTCTTGCTTCCTCCCACAAGTCCAAAAACAGGTTGAGGTTAATTGGCGATTCTAAATTGTCTGTAGGTGTGAATGTGAGTGTGCTTGGTTGTCTGTCTCTAAGTGTAGCCCTGCGATAGACTGGCGACCTGTCCAGGGTGTCCCCTGCCTTCGCCCTAAGTCAGCTGGGATAGGCTCCAGCCCCCCCACGACCCTATTGAGGATTAAGCGGTGTATAGATAATGGATGGGTGGATGGGCTTTGGTGGTCAGTTTACCAAAATGTCCTAGTGTTTAAAGCAGCTGAATAATTTTGATTGCAATTGTCAATGACGACAAATTGAACTAACTAATTATCTAACCCATTCCTTGAATACTCTGATAGCACAGTGTTGTTGGATATAAGGTTCCTTTACTGTTTACATATGAATGTGTGAGGTATCACGTTGTATCAAATGTGGTCTACTGAGTCAGAAATGAGTCATTTTGTGGCTGTTTTTTTCTCAATGCAGCAGGTAAACCTGAGACAATGTGAAAAGACACAGTAAATTGTATCTTGTAAAGATAGTGTTAAATTTATTGTTATTGTAAATATGATATATTTAATAATCTTTTATTAAAAGTTAAGACCGAGACACTATTACTCTAAGGATTGGCAGTATGCCCTGACTTGTTTACTGTCCCTAGCTTGCATGTTTGAGGAACTGCAGCCCATTGGCTTTTAGTGCCCCCTGGTGTTGCGAAGAGTGCACTTCATGTTTTAAGTGCCATATAAAAGACCGCTCAGCCTATGGTTGTTATATTGCAGCACATGTGTGTTATGTTTGTGGCACCACTATACTTAGTATTTTAAAACGGACCATAATGTTATGAAACTCTGGTCATTGCTTCCTCTCAGTATTGATTGTGTGTTTGAAGTTTTTCATAAAAATAATCAAAAAATAATTTTGCCCCGCAGGCGAAACAGTGACTCTGATTACAGCGATGGAGAGGAGGACTTTTACTACTCAGAGATCGAGGTCAACATGGACAGCCTAACGGAGGGCTTGTCCAGCCTCACACCCACCTCGCCCACCACGGCCGGTCCTCCGCCCATCTTCCCTCCACCGCTCACCGATGTCCCTCACTCCGAGCACATCAACATGAATGGTTCGCAGAGTCACGTCCCTACACTGCTCAGTCAATCAGCTCCCTCCACACTCTGCCACATCCGCACTGACCACGCCTACCAGGTAATTCACACCCAGCGGGACACAGAATATGGACGCATGCATCATTAAATGAAAATTCTGGAAGTAGACGCTCTTGTTGTGCCTTTGAAAGCAAGACAACTTAGACAAGATTTGGTTTTCTATCATATGGAGTCTGCACAGGCAGTTTTTTATGTTAGTGCAAAAAAAAAAAAAAAAAAGGTCAGGGTGAGTTACTTAACTCCTACGCCAGTGTGGGTTGGAGTATATAACAGGGTCTACATGAAGGATGAAGTCAGAATATATTTTTTATATTTTTATATTAATTCTGAAGCTAGAAAGGGTTTAGTTTTTAGATTCAATTATGCTTAAATTCCTGCTTGCAAATCTAATTTGAACTACTTGGATATCAATGCCACCTCCCTATTCTTCTCTGTGCCCTCCTTTTTTTTTTTTTCGCTTCCTCTTGTTTTTAATGTGCTAGTTTATGTGCATATCTCATTTATATGTCCTTGAAGATAAAATGAAATGGTTTCAGCTGGAAGAACACATTTGGTATAAATATAAATATTAAAAGTACTCAATATTGAATTCAGTCCTTTGCAGTGGTTTGAGGTAGTACAGGACTTTCAGTTGCCATGACAACACAAAATGCACATAAAAATAGATGTACAGTATGCGTATACAAAACTGGAATGAATACTTCTTATGTTTAGTTTTCTTTGTACCATACTTTACGCAAACACCTCTATTTGATTCTGCTAACTTCATGCTTTTACTGCTATTCTTCCTCCTTCATAGAAAAAGTTTCTGCCACATTCTGCAAGAGTGTAAGGCCAGGCTCATACTACCAGAGTTTTAAATCCAGGTTTTCATATCAGGTCACATCACGCATATAAACTTTACAGATATTCTTCTTGCTAGTTTCAGTCATGCACATGCTAAGAGATTTGAAATTAAGGGTGCACTGAAGGAATATAATAGTGCGAAAGGAAACAATCAGGGAGCAGCGCGCCACCTCACGTGATCTCAAGGCGAAGCAGCTTGCTTGATCAAACAGCTTGCTGTAGCATTAATAATACCTTGAATTGAAATTGAATTAAGTGAATGAGAAAATGGTTCAGAAGATGCAGTCAACATGGTTTGTTTATTCTTCAGCAAGCCCTGAAGGTGAGATTTTAAGTTTTCAGTTTTGTTATCTGTAACAAACATTAGGATCCAGGGTTATAATGTTTAGCCTCACTTTGCAACAGTGTCCACTATTCTGGGTGCTAGTAATACCATGTTTGATATTAATCAGGATGACCCCAATGAATCTGCCATCAGTTCAGGAGGTTTAAGACTGAATCTGTAAACCACTCAGATTATTAAAGGATCTGGAATGAACAGTAGCTCAAAACAAGATCCCAAACCAGATTTTTTTCTGTTATCAATAAAAGGAGCGAAATGGGGGTAAATCAGCCTAAAACTCATAGTGTGAGACAGGCTGAACCATAGTTCTCACTTTAACTTTCACATTTTTTGTCGTTCATGGCAAATTAAAAAATCGGCGGAGGCAGTTTTGCTGATTAAAAGACATATTTCAGATTAAAAGCTGAAGAAATGCCTTCCCTACTAATTATACCTTCTATTTCTTCTGTACTCTCTTGTCTGTTTCTGTCTGCACATTTCCTGTCCCTCCTTGTTTCTGTTGTGTCCTCTCCTGGTTATGTGGGGTGGTTGTCCATGTTCCAGGCCACTGCTCCAGTGAGTATCCCAGTAGGTCCTGAGCTGGCTGGGATAGGCAGTGGTAATGGGATCGGGCCTGGAACTGGGACTGGGAATGGCATCAGTGTGTCGTGGCAGTCCCCTCCTGTCATTTTTAAAGGCGTCCCGGTGAGTGAGGCTTTGTCTCACGGCTTTTTATCTTTATCTTAATTTCTCTCCTGCTGTTTCCACTTGAAGCCATTTGAGCTTTTTTTTTTTTTTGTCACAGTTTTTTTCATTCTGCTTGCTTCTTTACACCGTGATCTTTTTATACATGGAGGCATCTGTGCTTGTCTCTCTTTGGCTCAATTTATTGAAAGATACTATTTAAACAGGTTAATATATAAAATCAAAACTAGAAAATAAACCATGTGTGCACAACATTAAATATTGTTATCTATGTTATATTATGTGTGCGGTCTCACATGTAGGACGGAGGTTATTAAATAGAAATCAAACACATGACAAAGCAAGTCTGAAGAAATCGAAGAAATGTCTGAATGTGGAGTGTGAATAAATATGTGGAATATGTTATAAATGTTGACATAAAACAATGTTATTGTTAAAGTTCCTCAGTGCCTCTAGTTGGCTGTGACCAAAATGATTGAAGACATTCTTGCCTTAAATCAGAGTCTGGGCTCATTTGAGACAGTCAGAGGACCTGAGGGATGAAGGAGGCACATATTACATTTTAAAGCACATGAGACATCTTCAGCCACAGAAATATTTACAAACCAATAAAAAGAACTTAAAATCAATAACAAAACTGACAACCAACCACTGCAGGGACACAAAAAACTTTTATTAGAGACCACAATTAAACAGGCTAGTTTTTTAACAGACTTACTGGTGTTATGTAGGCATAAACACTTGCATTATAGCCCAGAAGGACACCTACAGCAGGTATTTTACTCCATTCCAGAAACAAGTTCCTGTGTTTTATCGTGATTGTGTTGCAGGAAACTTTTAAGACGTACATGCACTAACGCTGGAACCATGGCAATGCAAAGTTGGATGTCATATGTGTATTTGTGATAGCTTGTGTCTGTCTCTTGATAACATGGGATGCTTACGGTAGTTGCGCAATACAGGGTGATAATCAAAGATGATAAAGAATTTTCTGCCAGTAAGGTACTCTAGAAATGACAACAATCACTGGGGAAGTGGCCAAACGTTTGCACACTCAGTTTTATTGTTTATTTTTTCAAGTTCATGATATAAAAAAAGTAACAGTGCATTCAAATTTGAAAGAAGCATTGTTTTAGATGTTCGCCGTAGAGGTGGCATTCACTGCTTTTCAACAAAGTGTGTAGTTTACCCATGGGAGGCTGGACTTATGCACAATAATGCATAATTTGAGATATTCACGGCTCACCATAAAAAGAACTAGTGAAGGTAGTTGATCTAACATGATGTATGACAACAGAATCTGCCCAGTCCATGAAATGCAGATATTTATTATTGAGCTAAACTTTTCAGTTAAGCTACAAAAGTTCTTGCAAGTTACATAAACTAGTTACACTAGTAATACTGTACTGACAAGAGCAGAACTAAGGTTGTGTCTTGTGTTTGTAACAACCTAAACTTTATTTATTGGTGTCTGTTTAATCAGTGTATGATAACTGATCGTTTCTGTTTTTTCGCCCACGTTGGAGAGAGGAGCCCAGGCGCTCTGAGGCTTCACTGTGTCAGTATGATATTAACCAATACGCTTCTGATGTCTTTCCACTTTGCCAGGGGCCTGTGACTCATGTTCGGACAGTTAGCATCGGTGAAAAGCGGCAGCCTGCAGCCAGCACACACACCACTGTTAATAAGAACCACACTTTAATAACACCGGCACCTAAATCAACACCAGGAACCAGGTACGCATCGGCCATTTGCTGTGCATCTGCGATTGTGTTAAGATTGTTAAACTATTCTGTTAAAGTCAAGAAGGGGGGTAGTACTGCGCCCTTATTCTGTAATTATTATATTATTCACCAGGCAATATTATCAATACCAAATTGTGTTTCTTTCTTTAGCATCTTTTTATGTCGCGCTGGCTCAGAACATAGTCTGTTCCCTTTGTAGAGTCTGAATTGTGAATTTTAGTGTTCCTAAAATTAAATTCTCTTTTTTTACATGATAAATTGTAAATGATTAAATGTACTAATGTTTGTAGCAGTGTGTTATATGTAATAGTTTATTGCCAGTGGAATGTAAAATAAGGTCTTGGAGATTAATTTGTCTTTAAATCTCAACCTTTCCCAGATGTCTCTCTTGTACAGAGTCATTTTAATGTTGACTTGTTAAATAAGAAGACTTGTAAGTGTGTATGTGTTTGTGTTCCTAATCCTGCCCTTACATGCACACGTACACATTTAGACGCCATTGAGCGTGTTGCACATATATGTGTGTGTTTTCTTTTTTTTGCCCATGTGGGCGTCTGGATGTCTGTGTGCATGTCCTTATGCTGTCACATCTGCTGTTACCAAGGAAACCCCGCGGGGAGGCGAAGAAGTGCAGAAAGGTGTACGGCATGGAGAAGAGAGAAATGTGGTGCACAGCCTGTCGCTGGAAAAAAGCCTGTCAGAGATTCACCGACTAATCCAGTCCCCTTCCCCGGTCTGTGAGATGAGCTCTTCCTCACTCGGAGTGACAGCAAGGTGGACGCTTCCACTGACGAGACGAGGGGAGATTTCTTCACGATGGAGTTCTCGGTGCTGCTTCCTCCAGCCCAGCAGGGGGGCTCGCCTTCTCTCTTTTCCGTTTCCAAACACAAAGAGAAAATAAAACTGGTTGGTAAAAACAAACAAAAAACCATCAAGAAAAAAATAACTTTATGCAGGTTTTGAGACTTTTTCTAAGACTGAGACATTTTCACTCTGACGAATAAGAAAAAAAAGAAAAAAAAAAACATTTAAATTGGCTTATGAACCTTCTTGAGTTGATCTTTTTTGTTTTTCACTTGCTTCAACTCAAGGCAATGTTTAAAGACTACAGATAAGCTTTTTTGGTATACTCTGTTGTTCATTATAGGAGCATCATGTAAGCTACTGTTAAGGATTGATCATGACACTTTTTTTGGAGGTTCAAGGGTTAACAACCAGATCTACTCGGTATGAATTCTGTAGCATATCCGTTTCTTATCGTCACTGTTTAAGGGACTTCAAACCTAAGAAATGCAAAAGGCCTGTTTACTTACAACCAACTTTTTTTTTGGTGTAAGCTCCAACATCACTGTCTTCTGCAGTCTAACTGGACGTCGACTGCATGTCTGGATACATATTATTCAATATCAAACAACTTGTTCATTTAGACAAATTCTATACTGCCCGCTATATTTGTAGTTTTGCAAAACTGCACCAAATCTTACACAACAAGTGGTACAAAAAGTTCTCCCTTGATGTTCCAAAATATTTTCGAGAGATGTACAAAATATCAGAAATATATTTCCCTCTCTTTTTCTCTATACTTTTACTGTAGAGATATGCACCTTGAAGAAATATGTCATCTTTTAGAGCATCACTGTAACCCCCAGCGTATGCCTAAGAGCGTGAATATCTGTTTCTTATATAGTTTATTTTCAGCAATGACTTGCTGAAACAACTTGCAGTTGCACTGTGCAATCAGCAGGATTACAGCATTTAATATTGTCTTTCTTGCTTTGTGGTTGTCATTGAGTCATGAGTTGAGGCAGAAAGGCTCATTATTCTTCCTTTGACAGCTGATGTTCTTAAAGAGATTGTTTACCACAACGATACGTGAATGATAACTGCCCTTTGAAACTTTAACTCACAGTCTGACTGATGTAAATTGTGTATGTAGGTAAATAACATAGACGTTGTAACCCAACAATCACTACCTGATAAGAAGTCAGGCATTCTAATTCATTTCTTACAGTTTTAAATGGAGAGGTTACCCATTCTGTAGTCTTTGGAATAATTGCCATTAACCAGCATTATTTTTAGATACTAGACCTAACTTCATAGGACCCAAAACTTCCCTACGTTTTAATACATGCTGCGTTTTATCCTTGAAAATAATCTTTCACTCTGGTGTAACATTTGAAGATAAATCGTGAGAGTCAAATCAAGTCAGTGCAGAACAGGAGCGTTGGTGGTCGACTGTATACTGATTTCTATGAGTGAGGTTTTTAAAATGTTTTACCAAAATGGAGTCTTACTTTTTAGGACAGGCTTGTAATAGTTAAAGGTAGGCCAAGGTTTCCAAGCTTTAGATAAAATATAGGTGGTAGATTTTTTTAGATAGTTAGATACTTCAGTTTTTTGATATATCCCTTTTTAACGTGTTTTTCAGCATTAGTGGCCATTTGAAGAAAACTGTTCATTTTAAAACTATTTTGTTACCTGTTTTGTATTCGTCAAAGATATAAAACAGGAAAGAAACGAAAAGCAAGAGACATAAGACATTTTTATAGTGTTTTTTAAAAAATATACTGTCCCTAGTCTTTTTAAATAGTTTTTAAACTTCCCCCTCCTGTTAATTAGTAATGTGTAGTTGTCATTGACTTTCTCTGAGTTGACTTAATCAGTTTCTAGGTTTAAATGACAGAAACAACAGACAATGCAGATTTTTTTTAAATGATAACCTTCTTCAAACCATAGGGCCAACTCAAATTATTTATTCCTATAGTCAAACATCATAAATTTGCCTCAAAGGGCTTTACAATGTGTATATATTATAACACCCCCTATTCTTAGACCCTCGATTCAAACAAGACAATGCCCTTAAGAGAAAAAAAAAAAAAAACAACACAGCTAATTTCCAATTTGCTCTTAGTAATATAGTCATGATATTAGATATATATACTTTTGAAGAGATCCACCATTGTTGTGAATCTCTCTCTCTTTTTTTTTTTTTAATTGATGTGCTGTATGTTAGCAGCTGTTTGAATGTGGATTCTGCTGTGTGTCCTCTTCTCTCGAAGCGCTCCTAACACTGACCTGACCTGATCTCAGTAGCAACGTATGACAAACACAGAGTGCCTGTCCTCGTCGATATGAGTAGGCCATCCTCGAGCAGGATCCTTGATTGAGATCCAGTACGACTTCAGACCTCTGTCGCCATAGAAGCACCTATGCTGTCCTCTGGGCTCACATGTGCCGTTGGCTGATACCATGTTATAGGCAACTAGTCATCACTTCTCGAAGCTGATGCATGAGGTCAAAGCGCAAAAAAAAAGAAAAGAAAAAAAGCATTAAGCCCATATGGTTGCTGTCATAGTAGTTTATGTCTCATTGAGTTCCTGTTTCCTTTTTTTTTTTTAATTTATGATCCTCCCTGTAAAGTGTTTATTCCAGTGATGTCCCAGATAAGCTAAGGCCTCTTCCAGTCAGAAACTTCACCAACTTCACCAAGTGCCAATTCAAAGAAAACAAAAAGGAAAAGGTATACTGACCTGATGAAATTGCACTACGTTGCACTGCGCAAAGACATGTTTTTGTACATGGACATTTTATATACACAAATTTTTAAGTGAAAGGGTATTTTGTTTTGAAGGGGTGGGAGGGATATCGTCACTGCCCGATGGAATAAATGGGGTGTCAGGGATGTGGGGTCGTGAACCTCTGGGGTTCCCCATTATTACCAAGCGATCTTGACAGTTGATGTCTTGCTCTTTGTGTCAGATTTATTGTACTAGACACAGCGGTGCTGGCAGTTTTAGGGAGTGTGGTACTGGAAGTACAGTGTGGTACTCAGTCAGTCACTTTGCCTTTCCTTGGACTAGTGCCAAGGGTCGAAAGCAGTACCAGCCTTGTCTCAGTGATGGTAAAACACCAGTTTCAGTCAGTAACTACTCTTTATCGTCTTGATAACGGATGCTTTACAGTTTTTTTATTGCCTGGGTTTTTTTTCTCCCTCACAATACTCACACACTTATTCATAAATTTCAGCTTTGTGCTTCCTTTACTTAAAAAAAAAACAAAACAAAAAAACAAATTCCCGCTTCTTTACATTTACTGAGCTGAGGTAGTAATGTGTACATACTGTTATTAGTGCTGGATACCACTTTCAGTTTTGTTAGCTTTAGTTTGGTCGTTGGTAACGTGTCAAATGCAACCCGTCTAGTCTCTCTCCGTCCTCAGTGTAAGCACTTTTAGATTCCACCAGCAGGGTTAGAGGCCAGTGCTTCTGCCGGCAGACAATGGGACTTTCAGGCCGTGTTAAGCTAACAGGCTCATGTGCTCGCCAGCTGATATTCCACCGTTTTTTCAAGTTGCACTAAACTGGCCTGTGACGATCGAGTCCCATGGCTGCATCATTAAGAGTTTGGTTCTTTGAGTGCGACTTAAGATCACCGTTGGCCAGACAGAAACGTGGGTACAAAGTTGCTCTTGTGTGCAGACCTTTAACAAGAGAACGTTTTGGTGAATTCTTTGTAAAATACATCAGCAATCACAACTTTCACCCACACAATGAGGGATGGAGATTGTGGAGAGTGACGGTCGATGGGTGTGCGGGGGGAAACTGGAGATTTTTTACAGTAGATGGACACGAGACACGCAGTGACGATATAGGTGGATTTGCAGTTTCAGGGCTTTCTTGTACATATGCAACATAAAGAGAACCATGAGGCTTTTTTTTCATATATTGTTGTTGTTTTGTTTGTTGTTGTATCTCTGTTATATGAAAAGGAAACTTTTTTTACAGTACAGTTGCTCAGAATATTTTTCTTTCATTTTTTTTTAAAAAGTCGATTGAGAAGCTATAGTGAACAGATTCAATGTATGTTGTAGCTTAGAGGCAAAGGGGAGAAAAACAAAACCCGTTGAATGTAAAACCTATAAAAAAAGTCTTTTTTTGTTGTTTTGTTTTGTTGTTGTAATAGTTGCTGGCTAGTTTGTACTGCCTGTAGTGAACCTGTAGTCGTCCTGATTTCGGTATCCAAATTTTTACCACCCACAGACAGCTGTCGCCACACTGCTAAGTCATATATAATAACACAACCATGCAGTATTGCTTTACTATCTTACTTTGTGCAATGAGACGCTTTACAATGGAACAAGAACTAACTTGCTTTTTGGTGACATCTGGTCTACTCTCTCACACTCTCACTGTTCTGTCTTTTGTCGATCGCCCTGCCAAATGGTAACTTTTTTCTGAATATGTGTGGTTATCGTCGTCGTGGATATTGTTTGTGGTTGTGACATTAAGTTGTTGTTAGGCAGGATAACCTTTAGACCTTTGGTCACCATGGAAATGTCCAACTTGTGGGAATCTTTATCCTGCCCTGCACATTCCAACAGACAGCATGCTTTTAGTGTCTTCCACTTGCTTCCTAAAAGACATATCCTTCCTACTTCCTTTTCACTACAGCAATTCTTCTCTGATCACCTTGTCCTTTTCCATTTCCTGTTCTTGTGCTATCCAGCTTTACTGTGGTCCCACCCAAGCCTTTACCCAGTATATTAAGCTAAACTAAACCCTTGAAATGTGCATCAAAAAAAAGCCTTTTTTTTTTTTTCTTTCCAAAAAATGTCAAAAATTGATGTGCTGCTTTCTTGAATGTCAGTTTCCGTTTGTTTGTAAACCAGCAGCAGCAAAGCCAATAGATCTCCTTCCAAAATAAATGTAATGCATTGCAATGGCAGCTCCACTCAGTTCTCTGCTTCTTCTACTGTGCTCTTATTGTTTGTCCAGGCGTTTACCCTGTCTGTCACTTCTCTCATTTGATGACCATTTTTTCCCCTCTCATGTTGTATTTTTACTCAGCCTTACACTGGCTGGTGTGAAAACCAACCTTTGCTTCTCCTTCTTTTTCTTTTTCTCATTGATTGATTGTCTGGTTGAGTTTGAGGTTGTTTTGCATGTCTAGCATCGCTCATTTTTTCCTATTCTTTTTATTTTTTTTTGTTAGGAGATACAACACTGAAGGGTTTTATGTGTTAGATTTCCCCTCTCAGTATCCAATAACCCAAGGCTGATGTAGATTGTTTTTCTCTAAATGTAAAAATGCTCATTGCAGTCTGACCCACACACACACGAACACAAACGCACACGCAGTGCTAAAAGCGTTTTGCGGGAAACATTACGTCAGCCTTGGGTCTTCACTGGAGGGCAAGATTTCTCCTGTGTGTGGGCTCGGCCTCTGGTCTTCATCACCAGTCCCACACACATGGAGGAAGCACTTTCTGAGGAGTGGTGCACTCAAGGAGTATTTGTGTGAATGTCAAGCCTATGACTAGTGCTTGAAAAAGATGGATGACCATGTATGATGCTGATAATGTGATCTATGTGATGTAATGTGACAGAAAGAAAATAAACCTGAATGGACGAATCCTGCCATCAGATTCTTTATATTTTATGTGAATAATGCGATAATGAAACACAGCAGCTCTTTATCACGACAAATCTTCATAAGAAGGAAATATGGCCGTTTAAACCAATTGAATTCACTCCTCTGTGTGTCTGCTTTCTTTGACTTGTGTCTTCCTCCCCCTTGTGGACAGCAGGAGGTTTGACAACACCGGTTCCCATCAAGAGGCATGTAAAAAATCAAACAAAAGGCACAGCGCATGTTGTTCACTTCTTTACAGCAGCAATTTCAAAATTTATTGAGACTGATTGGTTTTTGCAAATAATAGTCAAGCTAATTCTTCCACTAAACATGAAGTTAGAAAGAGGCTTGGACGGCTGGTGGGGCCTGTCCCAACATCAAAACAGGAGGCTCATGGTTGACTGTAAAAATGTTTTGTGATCAGTACTATCAACCGAAAAAATATCTGCACAAGAGCACTTAAATCTGCCCAAAACAAAACAGGTGTAAAAACAGGACAGGTTTTTTTGATTATTTAGCACATTTTGTTACAAACACAGGATTATGATAATAATCAATATAAAGTCAGTATCATATTGAACAATATTCCCAATGAAAATAAACAAACCTCAAGCTTCAAGTGTGACCTTTTACAAACTAAAGACCCTCTGAAACTTGAGAGAAAATAAATAATATATAATAGTAATATAAATTCATATATATGAAGGTATACACACATCACTCTTAGTAGAAGAACAAAATCTAAAGTAAAAAGCGCCAATTTTGAAATATAGTATAATATAGATATACCCATATCTATGGCTTCATGATTTGCACGTGTGAATCAAGCTATACAGGCTAAATGAGGATTGCAATTTGTACACGTCTAAGAATACCCATATTCATCTGCAATAGAGCAAACAGTTCCAGTTTTGCATCGTGTGGAATGAGACAGTTGTGTGCAGATGCCGAAGATGTCGCTTTGGTATGACAAAATGAACACAGGCATGCAGTTAAGACCACAGAATCAGGGCACAAAAGGTCATCAACACACGGTGGGAAGGAGAATCTGGTCGCCCATCATGATTTGTCTCTTTGAAGTTTTATCCTCGGAAAAAAACAACAACCAAAAAAAAAAAAAACATTTTGCACCTCTAATCTGATCATCTCGGTAATCTCTATCCACTGATACAAATATTCAGTCATCTCTTGGAAACAAGCACTCTCACAAGCACACAGGTGAAATGTCATTGAGGCACATATTGAGGGGTTGATGGCAGACATTTTCCTGAAGTACAACCCAGAATGAGGAAGAAGACGTACAGTACAGGTCGTGAGAAGAGCGCAGGGCCGGGGGGAGTCACGCATACATCCAGATGTCTCTCGGTGGCCGCAACGGCGCCACGGGACAGAGATTTGTCACTGATCATGGGTTCCTTCCACACCCACCATTGACATTCATAAAAATTTTTACCCCATTGTCTTTCTTTTTTTTTTTTTCTTTCTTTTTTTTTGTTTTTTTTTTTACACCCCAGAAAAGTACAACTATTTGAAAAATGGGTCAAAGAAAAACACAATAAATAATACAAACAAAATAAAGACGGTTGCCAGACATGAAGAAAGCATCACGAATCGCACTGAGACGTTCTCAGCAGGGGTTGATGGGAAGTGCAGTCCACAGCACCTGTAGCAGAGAAGCCTGACGTGTGCGACCAGCACTGGCAACGAAATGTTTCCCAGAGTTACTACTGCAGCACTCGCTTTCCCTTTATGCAAATGAACTGAAGTCGAGCCAGTAAAACACCAGCATGTAGAAATACAGCATGTAGACTGAACGCTCTGCTGTCCGAGAGGAGAGTTTGGTCTGCACGCTGCATTACTACTTGATTGTGTGCCATTTGAGGCGCAAGACAGTAGAAACTAGAAAAAAAGAAAGAAAAAAAAACTCGATTTTAGGATGCAGTCTTCAAAAAGCTAGCTGGTCCTTTCACACAGCCCTTCATATTCACAATAATACCATAACGTGTGCACTTTTTCAAACTGTGACACATAGTGACAGGTTCAAAAATAAAAACAACTCAACAACAAAACCGTTTACCACAACAATAAATCCAAAAAAGCACCTGCACACACAGACTGTGAAACAAAAGCACTTCATGTATACAAAGTACAAGATTGTTTTTGGTTTGATATTAATCAATTAGTGTACATTAGTGATGCAAAAGCGTGTGCTGAATATATGTTTCAATCAAATATCTAACAGAGAAGTTTGACAGTGAATGTGTTTTCCCCCTTGGTNAAAAAAAAAGCAAATACGACAGAAAAAGCGTAAACTGGCACAATAAAAGGTTGATAAAAGCCCCATGGCTTGCTGTCCACAACAAGGCAAAGTATAAAAGCTTTTTTTTTTCTTATACAAGATATAAAATATCAAAAAAAAAAAAAGAAAACACAATAAAGCTTAGCATCCAGCACTTAATAATAATTAATAATAGTAACATCAACAACAGTAATCATAGTTCTGATATTCATAATAATAAGACATGTCATCTGCCTCTCTTGAATTGTCAATAACTTTGCCAAAAAACATGGAAATAATCTTAAGAAATCAATATAGACTATTTTTGGACACTGGACACTCATTCTTGCATACTGTACAAACACCCATCCTGTTCCAGCCAAAACACAGAGAGAGGGAGAGAGAGAGAGAGAGAAAGAGAGAGGGGAGGGAATGACTTCTCAAAAATCAGGAATCCACAAACAGGTTTTTTTTCAATAAATAGCTGTTAAAACAAAACAAATTAATATTACACTCTCTACAAATATCAAAGTCTGAATTTCAAGCACAATTTTTGATCCTCTTCTTTTAACCTTACGAAGCCGGAGAAAGTATATCGCCAAAAGAAAGATTAACCATGGAACGAGTCTGCATATTCTGTATCCAGAAACTGGAAATTACATGACTAAGGAAAAAAAAACAACAACAACAAAAAAACACACACACACAAGAAAAAAAAACCAAAACAGTTTTAAACAAAGGCAGCTCCTCCTTAGGTGTGAGAGACTTGGCTCTCAGGTCCTATTATTCGCAACCTCCAGTGTGAGAGAAACTGAACCAGACAGCGAGAGAGACAGAAAGAGTTATTAGTGTGGGTCATGTGGATCCATTGTGTGCTTGAGCTGATTTTCCAAACAGGGAAGCAGAAACCGATGTGTGTAAAGGCGGTTCGAACTCTCGCGTACACTGACTTTCAGTCTCTCTGTCTCTCTCTGTCTCGCGCAGCCTTCATTCCCCCTTTTTTTTCCTCCTCAAATTCCAAAAAATCGTATGTACATCTCCAGTATTTGTTGGAATGGATCGATAGAAACCAGGTGGTAAACTTAAGTGAAGAAAAGATTTAAGGACCACACTGAAAGGCATAGGCTCTATAAACAGCAATCTGCACAAAGATTCAGTGATTTCTATATCGTGATAACAGTCAAGAGGACATAAAGTATATCCTTAAAGGTAGGTGCGGTCACCGAGTTGTTCAGGTAAGTAAAGATCAGATCAAAAATGTAAACCACGGGTTCAGGGCTTTGATAGAAGTCAGTTGTCATTAAAGTGCAAGTCTGTGGCAGTAGGACTCTGCATCAACAATGTGCCGTCGGGCTGCCCGGTCCTCTGACACATATAGCTTTGCAATAGATTTAGACTCTCCCTTCACTCATAGAGAGACACTTTCCCCAGAAACATTACAGACGAGGAGGAGCGACCAAGACTCTCCTCCTCGTGACTATTCCCCTACACTGTCAGTGATCCTTGGTTTCCATGGTGATTGTGATGGCAAACATACAAAGTTGCAGTCTAGCGTTGGGCGTGTCCTTGGCAGCGTCCTCGTTGATTCCTGTTGTGACAGAGTAGAAAACTACTGGACTCTAGCCTGAACCCTCAAGAAAAAGAAACACAAAAAAAAAACACTGCATCAGAAGTAAAGGAGGTAAGCAGAAAAAGCCTTGCACTTAAGCCATCTCTTGATCACTCTTCTTCTACTATGGCAGTCAAGGTTTAGAATAGCGTAAGTGTGTGTGTGTGAGAGAGTGTGTGTGTGTGTGTGTGTGCGTGCATTTGAGTGTTACTCAGAATGGAATTAGATCATTGTCGCGCATCACCCTACAGCATTTCCATTCAAAGGAAGGCCTGCCCACAGTGGGACGAATGGGTAAAGAGAGCAGAGGATTCTGCCTGAGAGATCACAAGAGATCTTCAGAGATTGGTTGATGAGCCACTAACAGGAGCCGAACAGATTCTATGAGATCCAGGCGAAGTCCCTCTCGCTCCCGTTCTGCTGCTCCCCCTCCTGTGCCGAGGAGTCACTCTCCTCCTTCTCATTGTCCAGTGTTCCGTGCGCCTCAGTGGTCATCCCTGAGTCCTTCCACTTCCCTCCTTCCTCCTCCCCTTCTCCCAACATCTCTCCGTCCCCTTCCACCATCATCTCCTCCTCCCCTTCTCCATCGCCATCGCACTCCGCCTGGTCATCGTGGAAGCGGTCGCCGGGATACAGCTCCTCCTCCGGAGAGATGTCCCCGCCCACCTCCCCGTTGTGGTCCAGCAAAGCGGCCATGCCCCGACCGGAGCAGTCGGCACAGACTCCGTGGCGACGCGATCCGTGTTTGATTCCCACGCTGGCTGCTGACATGAAGACTCGGCTGCACACTTTACACACGTACTTCTTGTCTTTGCTGTGGACCTGTGCAAACAGAAACACATCATTTTCAAATGTTTAATTTACCCTTTTGGATACGGTGTAATTGACTGACCCCTACAGGAGCCTCTTTAACTGCACTCACCAGTGTGTGTCTCTTCATGTGCTCCCGTCTGGTGAACTTCTTGCCACAGATTTCACAGGGGTAGGGCCTCTCACCAGTATGGGAGCGCATGTGCCTCTTTAGGATGCACTGATGCATAGCAGAGAAGCTGCAGTAGGGGCACTTGAACTTTTTACGGATCACCGTGAAGTCATTCACTGTAAGGACAGACATGGGGAGGGAGGGAGGAAGGGGAGGAAGAAGATGGAGAGGGAAGAGGGGAGGATTGATTAGTGTTGAATGAAGCTCATTTAAATAAACCGAGACGTCACTTTTCAGTTATTACATTTAATTAGCGCCATGGTCTAGAAATGTACCATCAATTCCCATGGCCACCCCAATCCCAGTCAAAGCTACAGTTGCCCTGGCAACAGCTCTTCCTCCATACTAAAGCAATAAAGGCAAAGAGATACTATAAACACATGACACAACAGTCAGTCTGCCTTAGTTGCTCTAGAGGGTCTCTACTATGGACAGCAAAAACAGACAGAAAGACAAACACAGACAATGACGAGAAAATAAAATCATCCACACAAAGGGAGGGAAATAAAATCACACAAAGGGAGGCTACAGCAAAATAAAGAAAACAGAAAAAAGACAAATATTAATACTGTGCCTCAATCTTGTATAGAGGCTGGGTAAGCCAATTATCTAAAGTCTTGATTTAAAAGGTAGTTAAGCCAGGTGAAGGGCGTCCAAGACAACAGATGTGCCTGGTGTGTGTACGTTTGTAGCCAATGACAAAGTTTACAGGGAGAGCTCACAATATACGACCGTGAAAGATCAGGACGGGATTTATGAGGACTGAAACACAACACACACATCTGTACACATCTACTATACATTAAGGAGGGGTCAAACACACAGTTAAGGGTTATAAACTTTAAGTGATACATTATAATTACCTCCATCTGCAAAACGACTTCTGCGCTGATTAAATATTTGACAGCACATCAGCGAAAAACATGCAAGCATACATGAACCGCACAACAGATTTAGGCATTCAGACATTTTTTTTGGTTTGTTTTTTATAGGTTAAAATACAAAAGTAAGGAGAGAAATATTGTTGCGAATGGGTGCATGACACCTGCATAAAAGAGAGAAAACGGCAGCAAGGTTTTCACGTTTTCCATCGTAGTTTAATTTACAGCATAAAATCTACAAGCAGAATCTCATTCTGTGTTTTTTTAAAAAAAAAAGTACAGATTTTTGTACAGTACATGGGTTTCCATGAGAAAATCTAGAGTGAAATATGTTACGATATTTACAGCGACACTTACTTACTCAAACACATAAATACCACACAATGGCTGTACAGTATTTTGTTTCTCCTCAAAGACTGGCTCTGCAGAGTTCCTGATTAGTTCCTGACTTCTCTGAGCCTGCCAGTCTGTTTCAGCTGCTGGCTAGGACAGAAAGTGCAACCTGAAAAATGGGATTTTGTAGCAGAAAGGATTTGGCATTTGGGAGTTCCTATATATATATGTGTGTGTGTATTCTCGATGTGCTGAAGTGAATTTTACAGGTAAACACAGGTAGATGTCTTCCCTTTAGGTATTCACAGTATGGGTGCTCACTATAAACCTCCGTTAATGAGCTGTATCAAGACAATATCTTGTTGCAGGGTAAAGGCCTGCTGTAAACTCAAAAGAAGAAAATTTTGGCAGAAATTGGTGTGAATTTGCATTAGCAACCATTTTCAGGCCAGTCTTCACACTGATTCCAAAATCCTGCATCCCTGCACCCACTTGTCGACATCATCCACCTCCACCCCACTCGGTCCTCACCACCTGCATTATTATTCTCCTGCATCCCCCCCCCATTTTCTACCTCGTGCTCACATCCACACATTATCCGTCCGCAGCCATGACATCACTAAGCTCATCTGGTTTAAAGGGCATCTGGCCCTAGTTCCCCACTTCCTCTTCAGATGAGGGGTCAGGGGTTAAGGGGTCCGGAGCCGTGAAGGGCCAATTACTGTCCAGCTTCAGCCACACTCAGCCACTACAAGACTTACAGATCTGGGACATGGACAGAGAAAGAGAAAATGACACCACCCAACCCCCATCCTCGCTGCTGCTGGTCTATTGTTTTAGCTGGCTTTGTCTCATTCAGCACATCCCCGCCATCTGCACTGATCTCACAACACTGATTGAAGGTGGTCATGTCAGGCTGAAGGAGTGAGGACAAGCGTCTGCGCGTCCAGTGGAGGTGGATCTAGTGTAGAATTCCTTAGTTCTGTTTATCCTCTTTGACTTATAGAGCAAAGAAAATAAATCACAAATAAATTTTATTTTCCATTTAAGTTCTTTTATGGCATTCCTTAATATTTGTTGAGGCGCTCTACCACTGGCAACAGTCACAATCTGATATGGGCATTTATTCCGTTCCCATGCTTGCAATGCTACAAAGTTCCTGCAGGTGGTGTGGTTGTGTGGCCTGTGAGTCCCTGGCAGATATAAACTGCGTCTGAATGTCTTTGTGTCCGTAATGCAGGGGTGGACACAATGATAAAGATCTCTCTGCCTAAAAAGGAGAGAAGAGTTTAGTCAGACTGGTGACTGGCGACAGAGAGCCAGACAAGTGGTTTAGGCCTGAGAGGTGGAAAGACACCCCTGTCTGCCCACCCAGCACCGCAGTGGAAACTAATTTACCTGTTTAGGGGCTGAGTCAGTGCTCACCAAAACTTAGTTTTGGTCCTAAGTCCAAAGTTTGTTTAAACAAATCCATTTTGCATAGAAATTGTGCATTTTTGACACATAAGTTTGTATTATTCATCCTTAAAATAAAAAAAAAGACATAAAATTTAACAAGCTGTAAAAAAAAAAAAAAAAAAAAAGAGGTGTCCCCAGGTATTTATAGTCATGTCAACAGACATTTGATTTAAAAGGAATTCTATCCTTGTCAGTGCAACGCAACGACACCACAGAGCATTTTTGGCATGAATGTAAAACACACGTGAGGATACACTGCTCAGGGATGGGTAGGAATGTGTGTAGCATACAGCCTGCAGATCCACTCAGTTTTCCACATTGATACTGCGACTATGATTGTCAACTTTCATCTGTTGAGTTAGCCGCCACAGGGGGTCAATAACCCCACCCTGAGACATTTCCATCCCAGTGCTGCCTCCCAGCACAGCTCCTGGCACTGGCCCCACCTGGCAGCACACTTTAACATGTGTCGCCAGGTTTTTCTGGGTGCTAAAAGCCTTGGCACAGGCTGGGCAGGTGTGCCCTCTCTCTTTGGAGTGCACGGATGACAGGTGCCTGTGCAGATCTGTGCGGTCTCTGAAGTGTTTCAGACAGTATACACACTGCATCAGCTTCTTCTTGAAGTGGATGGTCTTCTCGTGTCGGTCTGCGTTAGATTTGAGGGTGAAGCTGGCAGGGCACTGGGAGCAGAGGTAGCGCGCCGGCGTAGGCTCGGCCACTGCAGGGCGGTAGAGAGACTGGTGGAAGTGGAGAGGCTGGGACTGAGGGTGGTGATGGGGCTGGGTGGGTCGGTGGTGCGGACCTTGCATGCTCGGCCAGTCCAGGGACAAGGCCATCAGAGACAGGGTGTGGCGGTATTCGTGTTCCCTGAGATGCTCCAGGCTGCTGAACAGCCGTTTGCACAGGGAGCAGGCGAACCCCTGTGAGGGCCAGGCACCGTGCTCTGGCAGGACTCGTTCCCCTGATCCAGCCTCTTCACCCAGCACCAGCGGCCCTTTAGTCCCTCTGCCAGCCATGGATACTGACGCAGGCACAGTCAAGCCACCAGCACAGCTCCCCTCGCCCATCTGATCCCTCTCGACAGGAGACTGGTCACCTTCCAAAGCTGAAACAGCGAGGAGGGCGAAAAGTGAGAGAAAAATCGTGAGGTACAGTACACGCAAAACTCTTAAATTATCGAGACACGACATGCATCAGCTTTTTTAAAAAATCGTACCTGTGCTATATTCTTTCATGTCTTCTTTGTCTTTTGTGCCCTCCTGTAAGCACAAAACATGCCGTTATGTCACTCGCACACATTTATACAGTCTGTATGGAATGTTGTCTGGGCATGCAAGAGGCAGGAAGATGATACAAGCTGTGAAGACAAGCTTTTTGTCCCCCCCCTTTTTTTTATACATGTAAGAAACACAAAGAGAAAAAAAGACATAAAAACAGAAAGTTAAGTAAAAAAAAAAAAAAAAAAAGGAAGTGAAACAAGGTAATAATTATTTGAGATTAGAAAGCAAACATGGAAAAAGTAAACAGTTGACAGTTTCTGGCTGCTACAAGCTGCCTTATGGGACACAAAACGAGCAGTTAGGTTGATCTACAGTATTAATAATATTATCTGCCTGCTACTCATACACTCAACACCCCCTTGAGCGTTAGCGAGGTGCAACAAACACCCGTCCCCACTTCTCTCCTCTCTCCTACACCCCAGCTCACCCTTCCTCCAGCTACTCCACGCTCTTGCCATTCCTTCACCCCCGCCCATTTGCTCAGTCCCTACACTCCTCCTCCTCCTCTTCCTCCTCCTCCTCCTCCTCCTCCCCCTCTCTAAGAACAGAACACCATGCACTGGGCAAACAGATGGCTTGTCCGTAGAGATAGGGAGGCTTGTTGGGAGGCAGGTCCACTGAAATCAAATGCTGCTCCTAAATGTTCACCCGCACACACACCGCCTGGCACAAAAAAAAAAAAAAAAACAACTCCCATCTACACATGCTCATATCGCCACACACACACGCACGCCCACTTCTCGCACTCACACACACACACACACACATGCCGAGCAAGAACAAACAATTTCCTGGGCTGCGAGAGCAAACCTCTCATTGTCTACTAGTATTGATTCTCCTCAGTCTCATCACACTACCTTGGCCGTTATCTGCCATATCTCTAAGCACACGCCGCCGTTGTGACTAGGTGTGTCATCTCTAATGTAACTACTATAAACTACATTACCGCTAATGCCGAGCAAAGACTCCTGGCTCGAAGGTGAATTCAGGTCTAGCTATATTAAAAGATTATCTGAGGCAAGAGTGAAGAGCTGGCAATCTGAAAAGGAAGAGACAGCAAACAAAGCATACAGAAAAGAAAGACAAACAACCGAGAAAAAAAAAAAAAAAAAAAAAGAAAGAAAGAAAACAGACAGCATTTCTTCTCCAGTGTAGCAGGAAATATGCCAGATTCCACAAAGAGAATGAGTTACAGAGAGAGGTTGAGCAATGATGGGCACACGTGTAGAGAAAAAAAAACAAAACAACAAAAAAAAAAACCACTTTTGCAATGATGAGCAATAACCCCATTAACCCCTCACTTCTTCTTGTAATAACCCCCCTCCCACTGGTCACTTTCTACTCTCCGTCACCTCTCAACCTCTCTCGGTGTGTGTATGTGTGTGTGTGTGTGTGTGTGTGTGGAAGCAGGGTGAAGCTGCCCCCTAGATGCTTTTTCTCCACTCACTGTTACAAACTTTTATCTGACAAGAGGAGCGGTACCCAGAGAGCAGCCTCTGCCCTGGAGCTGAGCCAGGCTCTGTGTGCTTACCTCAGGCAAGGTGGAGGGCTCGGGGCCCTCAGGGGCCTCTTCCACTTCCATGTCCAAGCCCTCTGAGCGTAGCAGGGGTGCCCCAGCCCGCAGACCGGGGGCCTCCAGGGGCCGAGGCTCAGAGGGGTGCAGTGGCGTGGGTGGAGTGGGTGGGCAGTATGCTGATGTTGATGATGATGATGATGGCGGGAGTGGTGGTGAAGATGGTGGAAGATGAGGAGGAAGAAGAGGAAGAGGAGGAGGAGGAGAGGAGCCAGCCCCCTGTTTGTTATGAATAGTGGCCCCCGTGGCCCCTGGCCGGAGCGTGCTGCAGTAGTTGTTGGAGCGGAGCCCTGAGGAGCACAGGAAACGAGTCTCACCCACCCACTCACGTACAACTGCAACTCTGCTAGCAGCTGGCCACCAGAACACAACGGGAGAGAGTGGGCAGGGGGGCACACAGAGGCTGCCAGTGCTACACTATCAAACACTATGGAGAGGGGGAGGAAGAAAAACTCTGAAGTTTCACTTTCCACCAGCCAAGGGGAAAGGGTTAGGGCTTCTCTTCTCTCTTTCTCTCTCTTTTTTTCTTTCACTCCTCTGCTCTCCTTCTCCTTCCACCCACATGCGTGCGCAGAGGATGGCAGCGTGTGTGTGTGTGTGTGTGTGTGTGTGCTTTGTGAGAGAGTGTGCATGTGTTGTGTGAGCGAGTAAAATGCATATAAGGAGAGGGCTTGAGGATCCTCTGTAGCGTGGAGGGAGATTGTTTTGGAGAGGAGCCATCTTGCAGCTCAAGTGAAGACTTTTTGTACACGCAGGGTAAAGGACGACTACATCGACCATGTAAGATGTTTACCAGCAACAAGTTAAGGCACGCTGGATAAAGAATTTCAAATTTCTCGCAGACAGCCATTCCATAAGCTTTTCTGCTACATTAATATCACCATTAGCTTCAACCGAGAACGCGTCCTTTTTCTTTCCTTCTTTTAAAAAAAAAAAAACTTTGATTAATAGTGCGTATTAATCAAAGCATAATGTATCGCAGGTTATTCTCGACAGTGTGTATGTGAGTGTGTGCAAGTGTGGGAAGCATTTTGGGGAATGTCTCCAGAGTTATGCAGTGGGTTAGCCATTCATTGCCCTCCTCTGCACAACGGACAGAATCACACAACCATGAGGCTCGACCGTGGACGGATTCCTGGAATGTTAAACTACCGCACCCGACACTCCCCACTCCCACTTACTGAGAACACACACAAATGCTTAACTCCCCATCTCTTCTTCCCCACCCCGGCAGTGACAGGAGAAACAACATTAAGAGCGAGGGAGACGTGAAGACAGAGAGTAAAAGGATGAGCTACAGGTGAGAGGGAGCAGCTCATTAACAAATGGTGTTCTGGCAGGAGACGCTTTCTCAGGAAAGGAGGCTATCACGGGATAACTACGTCGGCTGGGTTGCGCAGTTCTGGTTGGAGCCTCTTTGCAGAAATGGAACATGCAAACTGTACACTTTACAATCTTGTCTCACTGAGTTTAATAGTGCAGTCGTGTCTGGCAAGCTGTAAAAAAAAATACAAATAACAACAGGCTGACTCACTGCACAGTGACAAGAGCAAAAGAAAAAAGAAGACTGATACAATCATGTAGAATAATTGAATTACTTCAATGCAAAATAATCATATAGACGCTAAAATAGAGCCTGTGTGTTTTCTTCCACCTGCCGTCAGAATGACCTCAAGACTTATTAGGTGTTTTTAGCGAACTGTAAGGGGATTGACCAGTTACCAACAGCTAATAAACTCAAACTTTGTAAGTCTATTAGGAGTAAATAGCCAAATCAGACCATGACGCTGTAGCAAATAAGGCTTAATGATGCCTTGTTTGCAATAACCTCTGGACAGGTTTATTCTCCTTTACTGTTTTAAAAAAACTACAACAAATTGGCATTCATGTTTCAGACACTTTACGCTCCTCCTGCAGGTAAGAGACTTTTAGAAAAGTGCCAGCAATCACAAAGTTTATATAAAAAGTTAATTAGGCGGCCTTTAATGGAAAATATTGTATCGCCACCTTTATTTTAATTATTCGTTACGGTTCATGCTTTTACTCACACTTCTAAAAAGAGAGGCAGACGCCACGGCATTGCAATATAGAGTCTACATCTTGAATTTGGAACAAAATTTGTGTCGCAATCATAAATAATCCCAGAAAAAAACCTCTGGAGAGCAGCTATGGAGCCACTGGGAGCTATTGTACAGGGTGAGTCAATTTTCAAAAGTAGATGTGAAGTGATGAGAGCTGGCAGTGGAGAGAAAAGTTCAATAATGTCAGTATGATCCCTATAGTTAATTGGATGTTCTTTACAGCCCGTTTGCGGTGGCAGTGGAGGCAGGTGCGCGGGGATGGTCCGGCAAAATCCATTGTCTGGCATTGACTGTCTGACGTACGGAGGGGTAGTGGGGCCAAATCCCAATGATCTTAATTGGATTTTGGAGGCTGATTGACATACAGACTGGTTTCGCTGTATTTTGGCATTCCTCGTGCAGGGAGGATGCAGTCCGTGACCCATGCAAAAGGATCGCAAAGAGAGGAGCCGTGCATTTGAATCGCGCGTCCTGTCAAAAAGGTGGGATCAGTTTGTCATAAGGCAAAAGGGATGCTCAACTGTAGAACACTGGTTTTCAGTTTAGTCTAGATTTTTGGACATATGAATCATTACAAGAAACATGTTTTATTAAACAGTCAATTATACAGAAAAGACAGAAAAGAGAAAAAGGGAGAGGAGTAGGAGTGGGAGACAGAAGCTCTATGTCAAGGCCTTTTGCTGATATTCAGTGGTCTCTCTTGAATTGGGCCAGGTGACCTTGCTCTACCTCCCCTCCGTCTAGATCAATACTTTCCCAGGATTTTAAACCAACATGCTTTGATGCTCCACAGCCGAAGTAAAAGAGGGGGGAAAAGACAGGAGTGAGACAAATAAGGAGGAACCGCAAGAGCCGGCCAGAAGGGGAGGGAGTGAGGGAGAGTGTGAGGGATGAGTGTTAAGGAGGGGTGAAGGAGAAATAGATGGAGGGAGGGATGGTGTGTGTGGGGGGGGAAGTACAGGAGGAAAAAAAAAAAAAAGGACAGGAAGGATGTTAAGCAGGGGTGAAGGAGAAGCAGGGAGGAGAACAGGAGAAGGGGAAAAAGGGCTGAAAGGAGGGAGGGAGGAGGGAGGAAGGCAGGGAGGGAGGGAGGGAGCGGTGATCTGTCAAACCAGGCAGACTTATCCTCCGCCCAGTAATCTGAGGTACAGTGTTTGTTTATTTTCTGTCCTCATTTAGACACAGGGACAGACCCGGGGTGGGAGGGGAGGCTGTTGGCCATCTCGACAAGCCCATTTCCCCAACCCCTATTGTGTAGGGAATAGAAAATAGGGTTTGGCTAACCAAAAACCTCCATGAGGTTTCTTTGGTGACAACTGAAATACAGATATAGGGCTCATTCAGCGTGTTTTTTTTTCTATGCAGGGTGCAAATGATTAACATTCTCTGAATTCTCCAAATGTCCTATTCATATAGTCAAGGCTGAGTGTGTCTGTAAAGTCTGAGTGTGTATCAAAAAGCCTCCTCTTCTCTTTTCTGAGGCTTGTGAGGCTGTCTATCTGTGCTGTGACAGCATCTGATTCTCCTCTTTAAGCCAACAGAAACATCTCAATCCCACACACTTAACACTTGCACAAAAGGGGTGATGCGATGTGACGTGCGTGTGCGAGTGCGCGCAACGGTGAACGCGTGTTTTGGTCTATTCAGTCTTGGCCCTGTCTTTTATTTTGTAGGTGAGTGGGGCTCAACTCAATAGACATGACTAGGCTTGGAGTTGTACCCTTCCTTTGCCTTTCTTCCACTCACAAAAACTGGCAGAACTCGGGACAAAAGATCCAATTACTCGCCAGTAAAAGCAAAAGAAACAAACACACAAGTTGAACGAACACACACACACACACACACACACACACAAATGTGCCCACGCGGACATGGACTCAAGCAAATATACACTCACACTAGGGCACACACACACGCACACACACTGACAGTTTAACACCCTCACAGAAAGGCAAAAAAAACTGTCTGAACACAGTAAAAAATCTCTTGTTCACATAGACAAATTAAGCACAAATACACACTTATTGCTTATTGATCTGTTATTGATATGGTTAGAAAATGTTTTTTTTTGCACAATAACTGGAGGAAGGGAGCGGAATATTATCAGTGATATTAGGGTTTCTTTTACCACTGATAACCTAAAACATTTCAGACATTTGGAAGGGGGGAAAGGATGGTTGTTGAACGCATACAAATTGAAAAAAAAACACTCCACATACAGGTTGCACAGTCACTCATGATGATAAGAAACACTTAAAGCTCACATTTTTATCAACTTGCTGTAATTGGGTTTATGTCACACGACACCATAATTCTCCAAAATAAACGAATGTGAAGAAAATACTAATGTTAAATACGCCCCCGACAGCACGCAGAGGCTTGTTTTTGTAGTTGAGTAGAACAATTAAGTAAGTAAAAAAAAAAAAAAAAAATACTAATGTTAAATACGCCCCCGACAGCACGCAGAGGCTTGTTTTTGTAGTTGAGTAGAACAATTAAGTAAGTAAAAAAAAAAAAAAAAAAATCTGAACAGTTGCTGCTGTTCTGTCGTGTTATTTTGCTGCTGTGAAATGCAGCCGTAGACCCACTGATACGCACAAAGAAACTGTCACATAAAACCAAACAAATTTTCTCAAGACAGCAAGAGCGATCCCAGCAAAATGTTCTCTCACTGAGTCACTGCTGACTAGTCATCACCGGCGTTGCCACACAAACTGGTTGCACACTGAAGTGGCACCACACACATACACACACACACACACACACACGCATGCATTCAGAGTTATCCAAATACAGTGGCTGATGAGAGAAAATACTGTGCAGCAGAGGACACTCATGCCAAAAGCGGTCAAGCCTGTATGTTTTACGTGTCACAGGTGACCACATAAGCAGGTACTCAAAGATACACTAGAAAATTTGACTTTGTGTATATGTGAGGTGTAAGTTAAACTGAGTTTCGTGGCTGATTGTGTGTGTGCGTAACAATCAGTGTGGGGGAAAAAGCGCTCGCAAATAGTGACTTACAAGACAGGGAGTGTCCTCCTTTGGGCAGGTACTCATACAGCAAGGGGTTATCATCTCCCATCATCTCAGCCCGCAGTGACAGCAGGCTGTTCTTACTCATCAGCGCTGCCTTCAGATTGGCTACGGACGAGATCGTTCCACCCCCGGCTCCTCCGACGCCCTCCTCCGATTCGTTCGTGCCCAGGAAGCCGGGCTCTGTGGTGAGAGCCTCTTCCTGTTTGAGGAAGAAGTCGAGGCGTTCGCCGCGGCTGTCTGAGCTGTTGGGTTCGGTCACGTCTGCCCCTGAGTAGAGATGAAGTAAGACAAGATGGGTGAGGTTCTTGCATCCGTGCACAGCTATCAATACCTGAAAACACACTAATTCATCAAAAGGTATTACATGCAGGCTGGGAAAAGGGTTGGTCAAACTACGAAAACCTTGACCCTGTGCTTGTATAGTTGTCACTTTGTGGGTTCAGAAAGTTTCACCTGATAGAGAACAAATTTTAAAAAAAAAGAAAAAAGACTGAACCTACATATTCCTTTCCTCCAGTTCTTCAAACCTCTCAGCCAAGTCATCGTTTACACCCAGTGTTTTCGGTAGCGACTACCAACACGTCACCGCTCTGATTCATCTCTCTTTCTCTCCTCGACTCTCTAACATACCTCATCATCATCAGTCAACAAAAATACAGGGAGATCATAAAGAGACAGAAAGGCAGACGTGGTGTGTGTGTGTGTGTGTGTGTGTGTGTGCGTGTGCGTGTTACGTCTGCGTGTGTGCGTTTAGCCATCAGAGTGGTTGAAAGCAGAGAGAAGCTGTCAGCAGCAGACATGTCGCTGGAGGTTCCACTGTAGATCTACAAGACTGTCAGACCACACTGCTGACGACAGCTCCGCTCCACACTTAAACAGGCACAAACAAACACACGCACGCACGCAAATATGGACACACAAGCACACTTTCATTGCCTCCTAATTGATATTTAACTGATGACAGGTTGCTTTCGCTAACAAAGACTTAGACAAAAATACACACCAGGCACATCGCTGGCTTAGAGACTTTGAAAGAATGCCTTGTCTACACCTAAAACAAACACACACAGACTTCTGAGCGCTAATGCAGACTTGCGCGTTGCCTGAAGGGGAGTGTGTACATAATTACGTGCGATTGTTCTGGACAGAAACCCTCTGACATCTTAATATACAAGTCTACCGTTCAACAGAGCCCATGCAGAAATCACACTTAAAGCTAATGGGGAAAAAACAAAGTGAAGACAGAAACTGGGGTGACGTAAGGGCGCGGAGAACAGAAATGGGAAAGCAGAGGAAAGAGAAAGAGCAGAAAAAAAATTGGAGCAAGGCAACAGAATAGCCCTATTGTCCATTTTAACTACAGTCAGGTAGTGCTAAGTGTTTCCTCAGTGCAGCCCGGTGCTCGTCTGCTGCAGGGGGAGTCAAGGTGACAGAGACAGTAGTTTGCCTTCACGTCTGGAATACCGATGGGTATACAGCCTTTTCACAGCCTACTGGGTCAATGTTGACCACCCTCTCTCTCTCTCTTTCTCACACACACACAAACACACACACGCTGTCAGTCATTTTTCATGCTCCGTATAGATAAAATGATCACAGATCAGATGGATGGATACACGTTCTGTATGCACGGCTGCACAAGCGCACATATATCTGAAAGGTGTAGAGTGAGATATTGAGGACGGCAGAAGGAGATGGGGCGCGACAGATAAGAGTGACATACATACGAAGTAATCAGCAGCCATCAAACTACTACGAGGCACCAGATATAAAAAGAGGGGATAAAATAGGAGAAGAAAGAAGACAGGCACGGACAGGGTACTAAGAGAAAGAGAGATAAAGGAAGGAAAAAAAAAAAAAAAAAGGCAGGGGAGTGTAAAAGCGGGGGTGTTGAGCTGTGGAGGAAGCACAGTGGAGACACACAAAAAAACACACATGCATGCGTCCACGCACGCCCCCGAACCCACCCGCGCACACACAAACACACACAAAGTTAATTAAGGAGGGGGTGTAGGGGTTGGCGCAAAGGGGCACGAGGTGCAGGAATTCATTAGAGCTCTGCCCCCTCCTTCAGTGGGCAGCCCAGCAGCCACAGGAGTCAATCAATAACATAGATCTGCTGTTGGCCAACAACAATACACACACATGCACAAACACACACACACACACACACGTATATGGAGAAAGGAGAGGCAGACAAATGGAAGGAGAGGAAGGGAAAAAGAGGGAGAGAGAAAAGAGGGTCATCTCTGACCCCCATCTCCCTCCACTCATCTGTTCATTGGATGAGTGAACGACCCCTGACCACTTTTCCCAGCATCCCCTGGACACATGCGTCCACAGATGGAACATGTCCGCCCTCCTCGCAGTTGTACAGTAACAATGCTTCAGTCACACGGCTGCAGATTAAACGGCAGAGTTATGGATTGCCTCACGATGTCCGCGCGGAGATCAGTCAAACTTCTGTCTGGTACACACACCAAATTAATATCAGCGTTCTTACACATTAGCCAACAAACTCCTGCAGACAAACTCCGCTGTGCAACATACAGTATCCTGTTTTCGGAGGATATATCCACATATCCGAGACTAAGCGTGAAATATTAGAAATTAGTATTCAGCTGACCGCAAACAGGCTTTCTCTCCAAATAATCGGAATATACTGCATAATCCTCCTTCACTTATGTAAGCTTTATCGGGCCTGTGTAGATGGTGTGTTACTTAAACCTCATCCTGTTCTGACAGATAAAATCATTTACCACACCAGAAACAGTCGCACCTAATCCCATGCACGCAGCTTATGGATTTCATCATACGTGAGCCTGGTTTGGTTGAGGATTTGTAGACACACATATTGTGGTGTCTTTCAAAGGCAATAGGTTTATCCGGAGTTTTAGAGACACTGTGGTTACATCATTCCTTTGTGCACATATGCTGAGTGTTAACGTAGCGGTTGTCATGAAACAACCTATGAATTTCAATGGCATGGAATATGCCTTTGAACTGCATGGTCAGATACAAAAAAACAATAGCATTTTCCTCATCTTTTTTTTCTCCTCTCTTTCTTCTGCCTTTACAGTGCAGCGGTCTCTGTACAGTGAAGGGAATTTTCATTTTCCCCTTCATAAAAGAGTCCGAATAATTTAGATTTCTGCTTTCTGAAGAGATCCTCCGTTTAATTTGGTTGCCATGGTAGCCAGGCACCCTTGGCTTCAACATTTATGCTAAATAAAACCCCCTTTTAAAAGGAGAGACAAATATGTGGAAATGGTGGTTCTCTTTGTTCATGTGTGTGTTTATGTGTGTGTGTGTGTGTGTGTGTGTGTGTGCGCGCGCGTGCATGTGCGTGTGCGAGTGATGCTGCAAGCTATGTAGGGGCTTGGGTGGGAAAAAGCAAAGGAGGAATAAGACTTGCCTTGGAATAAAAGATGTGTGTGCTGAACTATACTTCAAATGTTTGCGAGGAATACTGCATTTATCATCTATTGAGAGAGTTAAGGCTAATGGATAGAAGATACTGTTTCATGTGCTGTGGTTGGAGGCTGCACTGTATATCTGTGTGTGTGCACGTTTCACGAGGGGAGGCGTGTTATTAGAGAACGCGCTTTGACGCAGTAAAAAGGAGGAGAGCGAAGGCCTGAAAAGGGAGGAAAGGGTCAGCTGACCCAGTTTGACCTCTGATCTTCTGTTCTGATTGTGTGATTGTGTGTGTAGCGAGTCGTGCGAGCGTCTCAACAAATGCCTCCTTCGTCTCTGAGCGAAGCCCACCGCTGCTGTGTGAGGGAGTTTTCATTTTCCAAAAATACAAGTTTTGATGGATAAACGATGGGGAAAAAAAAAAAAAGAAAATATATACATTCATACACATCCGCACACGACCTGGCTGTTGATGGACGCACTCCGTCAACACCTCGAGTCAAATGCGCACTCTCACCACACCTTCGAATCAACAGAGACAGTAGCCAAACACAATGGAGAGAAAAAAGTCCAGGGTGGTTAAGCAACGAGTTACTGAGGCTTGTCGACCACAAGAGAGCTGTCAGAGAAGAAAGTAGGGCTTGTGTGCATGTTTGAGTATGGGAGAGTGCAAACAAAGGAGAAAGACTCTCTCAATGTGTATCTCAGTGTGTATATGTGTGTGTGACAGTGAAAGACACAGAAAGAAGCCTTGCCCCGAGTCAGCCCGGTTAATGGCTCGGCCGGCCTGAGGTTGAAAAGGACAAGGCATTACAAGAGCCGTGTTGTCACAAGATTCCGCCACTTGCCGTGTTGTCGACGCAACATTACAGCGTCATGCTTACCAAAAACAAGAGAGGAAAAACGAAAGTCTCTCCTTCACCTTTTTTTTTTTTTCTCCTCTCATCGCGAGCGGCTCCATAAACTGTATGTGTGATTAGTGCGTGTTTGTCCTCGAGTGGACAAAGAGGGGAGGGAAGGTGGAACTTGCTTCCTCAGCATGCCAGAGTTTGAGAGGGTAAAAAAGTAATTTCAGCCGAGAAGGGGGAGTGAGGCACTAAAACAGCTCAAGAATTCAGAGGCAATTTAAAAAGCAGTGTGGGAGAGGGGAATGAAAAAAATGCTGGGTTAAAAAGGAGGGAGGATGGAAAGTAAAAGAGGTTGTTATTCTCTCTCTCTCTCACTCACTCACTCTCTCTCTCTCTCTCTCTCTCTTGCTGTTGTTTTTAGGGACTAGCCGGGCCACAACCTCCAGGAGAGATAGGGAAGGGTGGGTGGGTGGTGGTGGTGCTGGTGGTGGTGGTGGTGGTGGGGTGTGTGTGGATAGGGAGGGCAAGCATAAATCAAGTAGAGCCTGAAGGCTTTAGAGGAGGGAGGGACAGAGGGAAGAGAGTGGTAAAGGACAGGGAAGAGAGAGAGAGAGATGATGGTGCTGGTAGTGATGGTGGTACTGCTGGGGGCTCAGAGAAAAAGAGAGTGTGGGTGGAGGGGAGGAGAGGAGAGAAGAGAAGAGGAACACAACGATTGCAAGAGTGGTGGGGTGAGAGGTGGACGGTGGGGTGATGGAGTGTGGGTGGGTGGGTGAGTGAAGGGGAAGCGAGGAGAGGTGAGGGGGAGGTTACAGAGGCTGTGGGAGGGAGGGTTGGGTAGGGACGGTGGGGGCGAATCAGCAAGTGTATGAGAGTGCGTCTACAGTAAACCAGCTAAATTTGAAAATGCTTCCTTTTTCTCTGCGCCTTTGCCCGTGTCCACATTAAGACGGCAAACGCAGCACATGTGATGGGGGGAGATGAACATATAGGCAGAGGAGC